CCCGGTCATTAGCGCAGACGCATACAATTTCCCGAATTTCAATGTGAGACTGTCCTTGCCACGTGATCCATCGCCCCACACAACCGCCTCTATTTCCCAAGCTGATATTTCAGCTCTCCTGAGTGACTTGGGATTAATTTCTTCACGTACACCCCCGGACTTTAGGTCCGATATTTCGTATCTCATGATTGACCTGGGACTAAGCGCCTCACGTACACCCAGCTTTGGGTCCGTCTCAACATCTCGCAACTCCGAGCGTGACATCCTCACACACCGGTGTTCCGAAGAAAAGCGTAGTCAAGGACGTAGCCCTCCAATTGCGACCGATACGAAAGGATGTGCAGGACGGCGTGTTGCGGAATGAAAATGGCTAGGAGCCGCAGTACAACGGTTAGAAAGGGCCCCTCGCTCGTCGCTCAATATGCGAGAGAGGATAAAACTTGTGGAGAGGAGATGGGTTATTGCGCGGAGCTGTTCTAACTACAACAGTGCCACAAGCTTGAAGGTACTGCATTTAAATAGCAACTATGGAGTGCAACGCGCAACTGGAGGGATTGTAGATAATTGCAGTGTCCTTCCAGCAGTGTCCTTCCAGCAGTGTCCGTCCACCAGTGTTCTTCAAGCAAAAGGGCGGGGGCATGTTGGGGCCTTACGGATTTAACTCAAATCAGGGATGTGAGAGTTGCGCTCTGTGCGCTCGTGTGATATCGCACCCGATCGCGACGTGCACATCACAGTACTTAGCACGAAGTCAGCTGCCTCGTTCCTGATCGTGAGAGTAGGAGGAAGTTTGCAGTGATCGACACGGTCTCATTGCCACGCCAAGGTCGCAGCCTTAGCCCTTCCTCGAGCTCAATAAACTACTCCCTTTTCCTCAACCACCTTTTCCCGTAGCGCATCTATCGTACGTGCTATTCCAGCTTCGGATTGTACCGATCGCCACGCACGTTGTGCAGTTTCTCTCGAGTTCCGCGACAATGAAAGTTGCTGAAATGTGGCCACATCGTGAAATCGTGTGAGAAATCCGGTCTCTCAGGGCCATTCCATTCATCGTGATTGGCAATCATGCAATCACGCGATCACGCGATCACGACATTAATTTAACGTCGTTCTGCATCGTTCCATTCTCCAACGTGTGCTTCTTGTAGCTGTAAGCACATGTCCACGGCTTTGCATGTGCATGTGTTCACGCACTTCTTGCTTATTTGAATGGGGTTCAAATCTTTTAAAATTGCAAGGAGCATTACAAGAAGTTGGAGCACAAGATTAATTTTAAGTCGATTGGTAATTTCTTTAATGAGCATGACCATTTTTTAGGAAACGAAATATAAACAACCAACCTCAAGGGAGCAGGCACCATTTATTGACGTGATTGCGTGATTGCGTGATTGCCAATCACGATGAATGGAATGGCCCTCAGAAACTGGCGCCAAACTAACATATGCGTGGCCAACCTGGGCTCCATCCGACTGCCTGCCAGTCGCACTCACATCGACTCCGATCCAGAACCCATCTCTCTCGTGGCCTTTCCTGCCCATCTAAAGATATGGCCCAGGTCGTTCAAGACGACGGACCTCCGGCCGCTGTGGCAACGCTCACAGAAAATGCGTCTACTCCTTCTCATTGCGGAAGCACTTATGGGCCAAACTCAGCTGTTGCTACGTCCAAGCCTGTAGAGCCAACCAAAGCCGAAAGAAAGCCGACATTTTCCGCCAGCAATGACCTGATCCTCACCCGCGAGGTTGCCGCAGCGAAGGCGCATATTGCCCCTTATGGTGAAGTTCAGCGGCGATTCAAAAAAGCTGCTCCCAATGCTAATCTAAACCCCGCACTTCTTATTCCCGTCACGCACAAGAGCATACAGGATGGGTACAAAAAAGTACAATACACTTTCGACAAGGGAGACAGCAAGACTCGGCTAATGTCAGATGTAGGAAGGGAAGTAACAGAGCTGGAAGAGCTTCTAAGTAGTATGACAGATGCCAGGGAAGACCTCAATAATAAGCGTACAGCCGAAAAAGATGTATTACCGGACGCCGAGCGCAAGACAAAACAGACAGGAGACGACCTTGTCCGCCGGTCTTTGAAAAGCGGCGGCGATCGGGAGCTTCCAAGTGATTCCTGTTAGATTAAAGCGAAAAAGCGTCGCAATATGTCAATTTCACCAGGAAGGCACCATCAAAGCGGCTTAGCAGGTTTTAGTGAGGCACTGCGAGAAGGCCATATGAGTCTGATAGAGCTGGGGCGCCAGCGTTTCGAATTCGAAAAAATGCGTTACGCCCAAGAGGTTAAGGATCGCGAAGTGGAAAGAATCCAGCGAAAAGAGGAACGAAAGGAGCAGAACGAAGTGGATTTGAAGAAGTTCAAAATGATTCTGGACATGATGCGCGGGACACGGTCAGATTAAAATTTTTTAATGGGCTTTCAGGATATGTTGGCAGCTGTACGCCGGTCTTGAAGACGATTACGGGACGTCATGCGTCTTCATAGTGAAGATAAATTTGAAGGGATGGTGGAGTACACGAAAAGTACTGTGAAATTGGGTTTGAGTATAAACAGTTACGCATGTTTGTTAGTAAGCAACCAGATATATAGAACGTTCCGATGGATGCCTCGTTGACCCTCATTTTTCTTTTGAGTCCAAGATAGTCTAGTAACCGTTGACGTTTTTAAAAAACCACTTTACAGAAATTCGAGACTTTGGAAATGCCTCGTTGAACATTCTTTGAGATAGGGATAAGTGCGAACCCTGGTACGGAACTGCCATGAAAACGCGTGTGTTGTAGCCTGAGTCGCTGTAAACAACGTACTGATCACCGTCTATATGGGTGAGACCTGGCATGCTTTCCTCTAAACCACTTTTGAGATACAGCGTCCAGTCGTGGCGTCTGCCCTCTACAGGTCCGAAGAGGTGCAGGAAGAGCCCAAAAGGAGATGTGACTGCTTGGAATTTAATTGCGTGGTTCCGTTTGTGACCGCTGTATGCCACACGCTGCTGAAGTCCGTCTCGCGAAAGCCGAGTGATCGAAATATTGGTAGCGTCTATGAAACCTACGCATTTGCAGAGCGCTTCGCTTTTATTCTCTACTGCCGCAGCGTATGATGCAGCACGCGCAGTGAGAAACTCGGCATCGATGTTTCCCTGTATACAGTGCTCTCTTTGCTTGACAAAAGCCTCGATTCTCTCGGAGAAAATGTTTGAGAGCTGAGGTGTATGCTTCGAGAGCAACGTCTGGAGGTCTTTCCAGCGAGCTGGTGATGACATTCGGAGCAGCACAACGCGCGGAACCTGGAGGCGTGTTACTGAATATCCGTTGCATATGGTTCTGACTTGCATTTATGGCCTTGCAATAGCTTCTGCAATTTGGCTCAAGTTGCTGTGACGAAAGCGAAAGAGAGAAATGCATGCAACTTCATATATCATTTGCAATGTTCTACTGAAATTTGATAGAGATATGTCTATGCATCTGCGCATGTACGTCATGTAGCATTGATACGCTTCAGCGTATGCTTGAGCTGCCAGTACCAAGGCTGTGCTCAAGATAGATCCGTTGGCGCTGGTCTGCCTCCGTCGCGCTATAGTAGAGACAGCCTGCAGCCAGTCATGTCTTCTTTGTTTAGTTCGAGCAGGTGTGTGATCGCGGTGCCGGTGGAGAGGCATGTTTATGGCATAGATCTGGAACAGGGGAGGCTGTGATGAAAACGTGCCGTAATGGTAATACTCACGCCGGCTTTCTAGATCAGCCTACCGTAAATCCATTTCAAAGATAAAATTTTGGATGTGAATAATATGTTGGGATAAATGCCATTTGTCCCAAGTGATTTCTCACAGTCGATACCGTAAACCCTAAAATGCGAAAAAGTTCGAATATATAATAAATTCCAAACTTTTTGGAATGAAAGTTTCAATATAAATAAATGGAATGGAGTGGATAAAGTGGACGCTCTGGATGGACGCAGTGGGTCCATCTAGAAATTGCCAGATACAGTGTACAGTGCTTTCCGTCTGCTGTTCACCCGAATATGTTCATACTGTAGGGGCAGGAGAGCTGGGGGGTAGGAACACAGACGATGAGAAGGGTATAGTATCAGTATACTGTGCCCCCTGGAGGGGAATAGGAAAAGAGAGGAAAAGAAGGGGATTACAGTCCATACCACTCAATAGTGCAGTACCGTGCCACGAGGTGAAATGATGCACTATTGGCGTGTTGCACTACTCAAGGGAGATCTGGAAAAAACACTTTTACAGCGTAGCTTAACTTGAAGAAATACCCGCTTCACACATGTCAAGAGTCGTGATACTCTGTAATCGGTTTTGAACTGCACCATTGACGGTTTGCACTACTCAAAACTGCACTATTAACGAGGTACTCTCTGTACTGCAGTGCTCTCTGTACTCCAGAGAGTACAGAGAGTACCTCGTCAATAGTGCAGTTGTGGTGCGGTAGCGGGAGTTTACTACAGAGTCTGTACTTTTTACTGTTTTTGCATGCAAATCGCGTCTACCGCCTGCTTACACAACTCCTTGCTTCACACTGTCTGTGAACTTCACAGAGGCACACTGTACAGTGCTCTCCCATTTTCCCCAATTCTGAGGCGCTGGTCATCCGCGGTCTTGCGTTGCAGCTCGCCACTGGCGCGTCTTTGTTCTCCCTTATGCGCCACGCCACGCCTCGCCCTCCCTCCCCCCTGCCCTGCGACCGCCGCCATCCCCTCGCCCCACCACCCCTTCAAACCTCCCCTCTTGCACGCCTGCACCGCCCCCACCATGACGTCTGCCTTCCTCGCCGGCGCGACGCTGCTGCCTCGGCACGCGCCAGCCAACCCGCTCGCGCCGCGCCGCTTCGCACGCGCGCCGATCGCGCGCCGCCCGCACGCGCCGCCGCGCATGGCCGACCCGCCG